AGGGGGATTCTTTTTTGGTTTTTATTGCGTGGACGGGGTGTGAGGGATGAGGTGCGGGAGATGTGGGGGACACGGTTGAGGGCGTTCTCGACCACCGAGGAGGGGAAGTTACGGTCTATCCAGTCATTTATCACATTCCTGTGAGCAGGGGCTTACTGAGCATAAATTTGCTACTCTGTTTTCCCACATTACAACATAAATTACGTTTCAAAAGTATTTAATTGGCTGTGAATCACCTTAAGATTGCCTGAGGCTGTGAAAAAGAATACAGAAATGTGAATTTGTTCTTACTTTAAGCAGTAATTGAGTAAAGAAGAATTAAATCTGAAGAATTCAATTAAATACATCTAATAGAGGTGTACAAAATCAGGAGGAGTAGACAGAAGAAACTGTTCCCAACTGAGAGAGGATTGAGAACGAGAGGGCACAGATTTAAAGTAATTGGTAAAAGAAGCAAAAGTGGCATGCTGAGAAGAAAATGTGTACTGTTCAATGAGTGGCGAGGATCTGGAATACAGTGTCCTCTGAGTACGGGGGCGACAGATACATTTGAGCCTTTCAAAAAGGACTGTTATTTGGAGAGGAGCAACGTACATGTTTATGGGATGAAGGTAGGGGCATGACCTTGAGTGAATAACCCATTCAGAGAGCCAGTGCGTATTCGATGGATAGAATGACCTCCTTCAGTGCTGTACCAATTCTGCAATTCTGTGAAGTCTGTCCCCTGACAAATCCTTGTTCATTGCCTGGATGAGAACTTGTCCTCAGCAATCTTCTAAAAGACATTGGCTTCACTGACTCACTTGATAATCATCTTTTAAAAATTAATTCTCCTGATGTTAGTTTTTTTAAAAAAATTCGTTTTGTTGGATGTGGGTGTCACTGGCTGGCCAGTATTTATTGCCCATCCCTAGTTGCCCTTGAGAAGGTGGTGGGACCTGCCTTCTTGAACCGCTGCAGTCCTCCTGCTGTGGGTTGACCCACAATGCCATTAGGGAGGGAATTGCAGGTTTTTGCCCCAGTGAAAGTGAAGGAACGGCGATATATTTCCAAGTCAGGATGGTGAGGGCTTGGAGGGGAACTTGAAGGTGGTGGTATTCCCATATATCTGCTGCCATTGTCCTTTTAGATGGAAATATTCATGGGTTTGGAAGGTGCTGTCTGAGGATCTTTGGTGAATCTTTGGCAAGGCCAGCGTGTATCACCTGTCCTTTAGTTGCCCTGAGGAGGTGTCGAAGGCTGCGACCTGTTGGGTTATGTTCCACATAACATTGCTCGGGAGTCAACCACAATGACATAGTTCAGGCATCATTTAAAGGTGTAAACTGCACAGCAGGACCTTCTCCTAAAAGACATCAGAAAGCCAGTTCAGTTTGTAACAGCAGTCCAACATTTTATGGTCTATTTTACTGCCGATACATTTTTAATTTCGGGGATTTTTTAACAGAATTCCAAATTGCTGGCTGTTGAACCACAGTTGGAACTATGGCCAATTTGGTTGGTTTCTCCCTGCTCAGGGAGTAGAGCCAGTGAGCTTTTGTTGTCTGTGTGAAGCAACACTGTGTATAAAGCTTGGGGAAGATGATGGCACGTTGATAATGACATTGGACGAGTAATCCAGAAGCCGAGGCCAGTGCTCAGGGTGCAAATCCCACCATGACAGCTGATTGAATTTAAATCCATGTAATAAAATCTGGAAAATCAAGATGGTCAACATAAAACTACCATTGATTGTTGTAAAAATCCATATGGTTTACTAATGTCCTTTAGGAAAGAAAATCTGCCGTCCTTAACTGGTCTGGCGGAAATGACTGTTACAAAGGGGCATTTTTAAGGTGATTGGAGGAAGGTATAGGCGAGACGTCAGAGGTAGGTTCTTCACACAGAGCGTGGTGGGCGCGAGGAATGTGCTGCCGGCAGTGGTAGTGGAGTCAGATACATTAGAGACTTTTAAGCGACTCTTGGATAGGCACATGGAGGATAGTAAAATGTAGGGTATGCAGGGTAGTTTGATCTTAGTAGGATAATAGGTCGGCACAACATTGTGGGCTGAAGGGCCTGTACTGTGCTGTACTGTTCTATGTTCTATGTTCTATGTACGTGTGACTGCAGACCCATAGCAATATGGTTGATTCAAAACCCCCTCCGAAATGGTTGTGCGAGCCACTCATTTTAAAGGCATTAAGGGATTGGCAACAATTTTTAACCTTGCCAGCAATGCCACATCCCATGGAAGAATCTTAAAAGCTCTTTCAATTAACTTCATTTGCATGGCTTTGTTTTACAGCTTACGTTTCTCTTGAGCTTGAAACATTGGAACAATATCACCAGGAATATATCAAGGTACTTTATTGTCTTACTACTTTTGACTTCGACATTTACACTTATGTGGCAGACTCTAAAACTAGGGACTTTAGTTGCAAATAAATCGAGAAAGGAATTCAGGAGAAAATTCTTATCCAGAAAGTAGTGAGAACATATACATTTTATTCCATGAATTCTCTCTCCTGACAAATCCTGTTCATTGCCTGGATGAGAACTTTTCCTTCGCAGTCTTCTGCAAGATAATTGTTTTGTTGATTCAGTTGTTGATCATCTTTTAAAAATTAATTCTCCTGATCTAGGGTGTTGCTGGCAACACCAGCATTTCTCCTTTAGTTGGCCTGAGGAGATGTCGATGACTGGAGCTGTTGGATTAAAGTGCCACTGAGTGCCTTACTGTTCCATATCACAGTGCTCGGGAGTCAATCACATTAGTATATGATTGGTGCCATCTAAAGGCATAGACTGTACAGCAGGACTGCACTGTTTCTTCTCCTAAAGGACATCAGGAAGCCAGTTCAGTTTTTAGCAGCAACCCAACAATTTTGTGAATTTTTAGAATATGTACATTGAGTAATTATGGCTAGAGATTCTGTGGCAAGTAACTCAAGTTCTGTCTCCTAAAAACCTGTCCACCATCTACAAGGCACAAGTCAGGAGTATGATGGAATAATCCCCACTTGCCTGGATGAATACAGCTCCAACAACACTACAACGATTCTAGAAGGCAGCCCGACACCACCTTTTCAAGGACAAATAGGGATGGCAATAAATACTGGCCAAGCCGGTGACACCCACTTCACAGGAGAAAAAAAAGCCACCATACCTTTGATCCTCTCATCTAAGCCATTGATATAATTTTCTTTAAAAGTTGAGGGTCCACCACAGACCCCTGTGAGATCCCACTTGTCACATGCTGCCAATCTGAAAATAAAATGTTTGTGTAATACCCTGTTTTTGCTAGCCAGCCAACATTCTATTCATGCTATTACGTTACCCCATGCACCATGGAAGTCCCACTTTATGCAATAAGCTTTTATGTGAAATCTTGTCACATGCCTTCTGACAATCCAGGTACAGTACATTAACAGGTTCCCCTTAATCCAGTGTGCATGTCGCTCCTTTACAGAATTCCAATAAATTGATTAAATACAATTTCTCTTTCTCAAATCCATGCTGACTCTTCACAATTACCTTGAGTTTTTCCAAGTGCCCAGTTATGACTCCTTTAATGATTGACTTTAACAGCTTACCCACAGCAGATGGCAGGCTAACTGGCCCAGAGACAGTAAGAACTGCCGATGCTGGAGTCAGAGATAACACAGCGTGGAGCTGGAGGAACACAGCCGGCCAGGCAGCATCAGAGGAGCAGGAAAGCTGACATTTTGGGTTGGGACCCGACCCGAAACATCAACTCTCCTGCTCCTCTGATGCTGCCTGGCCTGCTGTGTTCCTCCAGCTCCACACTGTGTTATCTCAAGCTAACTGGCCGCTAGTTTCCCCTTTTCCATCTCCCTCCCTTCTTGAATAGAGGGGTTATATTTGCCACTCCCTGATCTGATAGAACTTTTCCACAGTCTAATGAATTTTGGAAAGTTAAGACCAGCACATCTATTCCCTCGTCAGCCATCTCTTTTAAGACACTAGGATATTCATGTGGACCCAGAGATTACATTACATTAGTAATCCAGGGATCTAATCAAATGACATGGGTTCAAATCCTACCATGGCAGCTAGAAGAATTTAAATTCTATTAATAAATCTGGAATTGAAAGACAGTCTCATTAATGGTAACCATGAAATTAGCATTGATTATCAGATAAATCCATCAGGTTCTCTCGGAAAGGAAATATCATTCCCTGTCCTAACGTAGATGAGACTCATGAGTACTGTGATTGACATTTCTCTGAAATGATCGAGCAGGCCATTCAATTAGGGATGGGCGACAAACGCTGGCCTTGACAGTGATGATCCCTTCTCATTTAAAAACCAAAATTACAGTCGGTAAATCAGGAGTTTAATTGCAGTACAGTGGGGAGAATTTGAAGTTTAGATGTTATTCTCTGATTTCTATACTTTTGAGGTTTTTCCTCAGAGATGTTACTTCTAAAGTATTAAAGATCCCTAAGAAGGTCTGTGCATGATTGATCACTGTTGGCAACAATTCTCTCACCTGTATTTTGTTCTTTCCTTGGTTGGGGGCGGGTTTGTTTGGTTACAGCTGAAGGATCAACCGCTGATGAAGAAAACAGATATAAAAAGAGAACCGCATGGTTATGTTGTGACGTGGGAAACCACATCCAAACAGGTAAATCCTTGAGAGGATTAGCTGTGCTAACATGTAAAAGGGCCCAGCGTTGAAAATCAAAGAATTCACTGTGGCAAAAGGATAGAAATATTAATCACATAAATTATGAATGTTTGACACCGAGACTTTGTTATTTGTTCATAGGATTTGAGCAAACCTGGCAAGACCAGCTTTTATTATCTGTCCCCAACTGCTGTCAAAGAAGATGCTAGTGAAGCACCTTCATGAGTGTTTTAATTGTTCAACCATTACAGAAGCTAGTTAAGAGTTAATGTTGCCGTGGGTCTGGAATCACATATGTAGTAATATTTACAAATTTCCCTCCCTAAGGAACATGAATGAACCAAGTGGGTTTTTACAACAATCCAGCAATTTCATTCTTCAGTTCTGAAGAAGTGTCACTAGACCCGAAACATTAACTCTGATTTCTCTCCACAGGTGCTGCCAGACTTGCTGTGGTTTTCCAGCAATTTCTGTTTTTGTTTCAGAATTTATTATTTTCAGAAAACAAATGGGCAGCCATAAAGATAACAATATTTAAATAGTCCAAGTCCGCACTTTTAGCTTCCTTTCAGTTAACCACACTCCACAAAACTCACATTCCACATATCACTAACTCTCATATTTATACAACCCTAAAGTAAAATATCTGTTATCTGTTTCCTTGCACCATTAGGTGTCAGGCTTCACTTCAGACTTTATTGGATGAAAATAATATGAACATGGTTAAGAGATGTCAAGTGCTAAACATTCCTGTTGCTGGTACAATTCTGAACCCAGGTGATATTAATAGTTTGGAGGACAGGTGACCTCACATCAACGTCCTTGAAGAAACCAGTAGCACCAGCGTCGAAGCCATGATCATCCAAAACCCCTTCACTGGGATGGACGTGTCCTTTGGATGCCTGAGTTCCAACTACCAAAGTAAATCATCTTCACTCAGCTCAAGGAAGGTACTTGAGTGAGAGGAGGAGAAAGGAAGCATTTCAAAAACTCCCTAAAGAAATGCAACATTGACGTCCAGCATTCAGTACGAAGGACGATTCTTTGAGAACACCCATTGGCAAGAGGAAGGACAGAAAAGGGACCAGAGAAAGGAATGCCAGTGATTTCAATGTCAAAAACTTATTCCACTTTTTGGAAACACCTGCCAAATGTGTGGCTCTAGGTTCAGACTCAGTAGCCACACAAGGACCCACAGAACCCATGACCACGTGTTGAAATCCTTTGTCTTTTCCTGTTAATATCTTGAAGACTTCGATCAGATCACCCTCTAACTTTCTAAATTCTAGAGAAAGCAGGCCAAACTTGTTTAATCTGTCCTCATAACATAACTCCTGAAGTCCTGGTAACATTCTTGTAGACCTATGTTCTACTCCCTCCAAGGTCCCAGAAATTAATATCAAAGTAAAAACTTTACCCTCCACAGTCACAGATATCAGGAGCCGATTAGAATTCCCTGGCTGATTGATTAGGGACTGAAGCTGGGACTGTAAGGTCTCGGTAGCACACTGAAGAAAGCATTGATTCATAGGACTTTCACAACCTTTCAATGTGACTGTTTATCACATAAGCAAATTCCTTGCTTGATATCCTCAAGATATTGAGTCAATGTGATAATCAGTAAAAGCTGAAGAGGCTGGAGCTCCTAAGAGAAGACTGAAGCATCACCTAATGGAGATGTTTACAATTCTGAAAGAGTTGATGGGGTAGATGTGTAGAAAGCGCTCTCACTTGCAAACAGACTACAGCTATGGGTGAGAAGGATAAGGTGGTCTTTATGTAATCTAATAAGAAATTTCAAAAGAAATGTCTGTATCTTTTACTGATGAAAAGTCGGAACTCACTCCCACATAAAACAGTTGAGGCAAGTAGCAGGGACACATTTAAAGGAAATTCAGCTAAAAGCATACGGAAGAAAGGAATTTGTTGATGGGGAGAGGCAAAGAGGGATAGCAGTTAGTCTGTTTATGTGCTGTAAGCTCAGTGTATTTTGATGTTATACAGTTTCATGTTAAAGAGTCTTAACTCTTAATCTGTATTTGAACAGACTGTGACAACCGAGACCTTGACCTTCAGTCTGGAAGAAATGCATGGGTTTGTGTCAGAGGCCAGTAACCTGGCTCTTTTACGGATCCTAGCCCAACGAAACAAATTCTCCGACGACATGGTCTTTCTCTCTTTCGACAGTGAAATGAAGCTTTCTACTTCTACATATGTAAGTGCCATGTCTGGGGTCCTTTAACCAGCAGAGTGAGGGTTGAGCACAGTGTGGGCTACCAACGATTTTAACAACCCACAACTAATCTGGCTTTCAGTTTCTGTAAACTCAGCCCCTGCCATCATTCCTGGGGTGTAATTGTCAGGGAAAGGTGGACAAAGGTGGGAATTCACAATAAAATAAGAAAAAGGGAGCAATTTTTCTGATTTAATAACATTCTCCTGTAAAAGAAATATCTGTGTCTGTAGATATTTGGTTAGAAGTAGTGTCAAGGATAGAGAGCAAGAGAATGGGACTAATTAGACAGCGGAAAGCACTGCTCCAAAATAAGAGTTTTGTCGTTTAAGAAAGAAATCAGGAGAGATTGTTTTTGCTTCACGGAGGGTTATGAGTCTTGAGGATTTCTACTTAAATGTGATGGAAGCAGAGTCTTTGAATATTTTGAAGGCAGAGTGGATAGAATCTTGATAGCCAGGGGTCTGCAGAGAAAGCTCACAACCTTTAAAATGTACTTGGATGAGCACTTGAAGTGTCATAACATTCAAAGCAATGGCCCTAGTTCTGGAAAGTGGGAGTGTAGGAGAGGTGTATTATTAGCGCTCCAGGCTGAAGGGCCTCTTCTTTGCTGTATGACTATATGATTCTGTGATTTAGGCTTAAAGGGCTGAATGGCCTATTCCTACTCCTAGTTTGTATGGCCAGTCAAACAGCCAGTACAGGTATTATGGGTCCAGCAGTCTCCCTCAAGCAATTTTCCTGTGATTGTACAATGTGTCAAAAATTAGCACCCTTGCACACTAACGCCTGAGCTGATAACTACGTTTTAGAGATTTGAATGGAAAGTGTGAGCTGACAATTGCAGTGCAATACCTACGGAGTGCTGACTTTTGAAAATGCCATAATGTAGAGGAGCTGGTAAAACGGTCAGATGGAAGAGAATCAGGTGTTATTTGAGAACAGCAGGCATGTCCTTCCTGGTCTCGACCAACATCAAATAGATAAGCGCATCATCAGGTCTATTGCTATTTATGGGAGTAATTGCTAATATTAGAATATCCTTGGGGATGTGAAAGGCAGCATGTAAGTACAAGTCTTTACATTCTTTCATCTGTTGCATCATAGCTTTGTCTGGAATTGACAAATAATCTCTTGGATCACTGATTGCAACAACTGCTGGATATTTGATTTTTCCTTGTCCTGTAACAATCTTTCCTTTTAACAGATGAATCTGGGACACAGAACAGTGAAGATCGGAAAACAGGAACAGGATGTTCTTGGCATCCAAAGGACAATTCACTCCGAGACAAGTGGCCCCATGAGCTGGCAGTCCAACTTCCTGTCATCTGGGTGAGTACTGGAGAGGATCCGCCGTCATATTGCAGATGTGTCATGGTGCCGAACAAAGCTATTTAGCTCATCCTGTATGTGCATTTTTCGGAATTTCTTTATTTGCCAGTTTAAGTGCTTGAAGCTCATGGTTGGGCCATTCCATAAGACCATGGCTCATCTGTTTGTGTTTTGAATTCTATATTCCTGTCCAGCCCTGACAACATTTGATTTCTTTGCCTGACAAGAATCTATCCATCTCTGCTTAGAAACATGGAAGATAGGAACAACGGTAGGCCATTCGACCCTTCATGTCTGCTCTGCTATTCGATAAGATCTTGGCTAATCATCAAGTTTAAGACCCTAATCTTGCCCAGACCCCAGTCTCTTCATTCCTTTAGCCACATGATGTTTTGGCCTCAACCATTTTCTAGGTTAGTGAATTCACAGGCTCACCACTCTCTGTGTGAAGAAATTTCTCCTCATCTCTTATCCTTAAACTATGACCCCCCCTGTTCTCGACATTTTCACCACTGGAAACATTTTCCTGTGTCTAGTCCTGCACAAATTTTATAGATTTCTATGAGATCCCCCTCATTCTTCCAAACTCCAGTGACTACAATCCTAATTGACTCAAGCTCTCCTCATATATCATTCCTGGTTTGGTAAACCTTTGCTGCACTCCCTCAATAGCAAGAACATATTCCCTCCGATACGGGGCAGACCAGCACTGCACACAATATTCCAGGTGTGGCCCGACCAATACCGTATATAATTGTATCAGACATCCGTGTTCCTGTTCTCACATCTTCTTGCTATTAAAGGCCAACATACAAATTGCCTTCTTCACCCCCTGCTGCACCTGTATGTTACTTTTCTTAAAAGTATTGAATGATTCCGCTCCCACTGTCTCCTGAGGCAAAGAGTTCCAAAGCTGCACAATCCTCTGAGGGGGAAAAAAATTCCTTATCTCAGCCCTGAAAGGGTGCTCTCTCATTTTAAAAGTGTGCCCCTTAGTTCTGGACACCCTTACAAGAGAAAACATACTTTCCATATCTACCTTGTGAAGACCCTTCAGGATCTTATACACTTCAATCAAATCACCCCCCACATTGTTTAACTCCAGTGGAAACAAGCCCAGCCACTCCAGGCTGCATGGATAAGACAACATACTACTCATTCCAATCTTGTAAACCCCCACGGAACCCCTCCAATGCATTTACATCCTTCCTTAAATAAGGAGATCAACAACAGTTTTCAAGTTGTAATCTCTCAGTGCCCCGTATAACTGAAGCATAACATCTTTCCTTTTATGTTCAGTTTGTGATCAATGATAGCAGTTAAACAATTTATCAGAGGAGGAGCCTCCACAAATATTCCCATGCACAATGAAGTGGGACCCCAGCACATCTGTGCAACAATAAGGCTGAAATTTTTACAACTGCCTTCAGCCAGAAATGCTGAGAGGATGATTGACTTGGCCTCCTGCAGATGTCCTCAGCATCATAGATGCCAGTCTTCAGCCAAATTGATTCATTCCGTGTGATATCAAGAAACAGGTTGAACAAACTGGATACTGCAAATTCTATAGGCCCTGAAAATATTGCAGGAGAAGTCTGGTGCTCCTGAACTTGCTGTGCCCCTAGCCAAACTGTTCTAGTACAGCTACAATACAGACATCTACCTGGCAACATAAGAAATAGGAGCAGGAGTAGGTCATCTGACCTGTCAAGCCTGCTCTGCCATTCAATAAAATCAAGGCTGATCTATTTGTGGACTCAGCACCACTTACCTGCCCAACTCACCATAAACCTTAATTCCATTACTGTTGAAAAATCTATCTATCTTTGCCTTAAAAACATTCAATGAGGTAGCCTCAACTGCTCTATTGGGCAGGGAATTCCACAGATTCACAACCCTTTGGATGAAGACGTTCCTCCTCAACTCAGTCCTAAATCTGCTCCCCCTTATTTTGAGGCTATGCCCTCTAGCTCTAGTTTCACCCACCAATGGAAACAACCTGTTGAAAAATGCCCAGGTATGTCCTGTACGCAAATAGTGGACAAATCAGTCAGACCCACCAGTCTGCTCTCGACCATCAGTAAAATGATGGAAGGGAGATGTCATCAGCAGTGCTATCAAGCAGCACTTCACAATAACCTGCTTATTGATGTTCAGTCTGGGTTCTGTCAGTGCCACTCAGCTCTTGATCTCGGTGCAGCCTTGGTTTAAACATGGACAAAAAGGCTGAACTCCAGACATAAGGTGAGAGCAACTACCCCTGTCATCCAGGTTGGTTTTGACTGATTATACTTTCAGGTATCAAAGTGCTAGAAAAATTGAAGTCAGTTGGATTTTTTAAAAGTTCATTTGTGGGATGTGGGTAAAGCTAGCTAGCATCTTTTTGCCTGCTCCTAATTGCCCAGAGGACAGTTAAGAGTCAACCACATCGCTGTGGGTTTGGAGTTGTGTGTAGGCAAGACCAGCAGCTTTCTTCCCTGCAGGATGTTAGTGACCCAGATCAACTTTTATGATAATTGACAGTGGTTATGTGGTCACCACGAGACTGGACTTTTTTTGCATTCAATATTTTTATCCAATTTCATCATATGCTGCTGTGAGATTCAAATCCATATCCCCAACACACTAGCCTGGGTTCCTAGACCAGTGACATTACCACTACACCACTGCCTCCCCACTCACAATGTTCAGCACCATTTGCAACTCCTTAGGTATTGAAGCAGCCTACATCCAAGAAAAGGAAGCCCTGGACAATATCCAGACTTGGGCTGACAAGTAGCAAATATTTGTGTCACACAAGTGTCAGGCAATGATCACTCCAACAAGAGAGAACCTAACTATCACCCCATGACACTACCTTCACTGAATCCCACACAGTTAATACCTTGGGGCTACCATTGACCAGAAACTGAACTCTTCTAGCCATATAAATACAGTGGCTACAAGATCGGGTCAAAGATTAGAAATTTTGCAGCAAATATCTCACCTTCGGTCCCTCCAAAGCTTGTCCATCATCAACAAGGCACAAGGCACAAGTCAGGAGTGTGAATGAATAATAAACAAAAACAAAAAAACTGCAGATGCTGGAATCTGAAACAAAAACAGAAATTGCTGGGAAAACTCAGCAGGCCTGGCAGCATCTGTTGAGAGAAAGCAGAATTAACATTTCAAGTTCAGTTCTGAAGAAGGGACATTGGAATTAAAACATTTAACTCTGCTTTCTCTTAACAGATGCTGCCAGACCTGCAGAGTTTCTCCAGAAATTTCTGTTTTTGCTGTGATGGAGTTCTCCCCACTTGCCTGGATAGTTGCTGCTCCAGGAACACTCAAGGAGCATGACACCATCCAGGACAAAGCAGCAACTTGATTGGCACCACATCCATCACCAACACTGGTTACACGGTCACCATTAGACTAGCTTTTCTTAAAAAAAACATTGAATTCAGATTTCACTACCTGCCATTGTGGGATTCAACCCCATGTTCCCAGAACATTAGCCTGGTGTTTTACATTACTAGTTCAATGACATTACCATTGTGCCACAACACGTGTACAACATCTCCAACTTGGACTGTCTGCTACCTCAGTGGGAATTGAGGAGATTCTACCATCTTTGGCAGTGGACAAAGTGACAGAAGGAGAGGGAGGTGCTGCCAACAATAATCAGGCATTTGTGGGTCACAATCTCCCATCCTGTTACAGTGTCCCCAATTTACTAGTCAGCATTTGCCAGATTCTACAACTGGCCATACAAATGCAATATTGACCCAAAAGTGTGGAATGCAAGAATATGGGTAAAAGTAGGGACGTGAACTTAATTCAATAACTCTGTCAAACACAATTGGTTGAAAGGCTTCCTTCTGTTCTGCAAAATTCCATGGTAAACAAACCTTGTTATCAGCGTAATGCTGTCCTCCCATACTTCCTGGATTTCTGTCACCCCACCATTGCTAACTCAGTCTTCAGTTGCCTAGGCCTGAAAATCTAAAATTCTTTCTTGTACCCGTCTTCTCTACCATTTTAAAGGTGCTCTTTCATTTCCTCCTCCTTAACATGGTAATATTTCCTTATGTAGCTCAGTGTCAAGACAGCTTCTATGAAGCACTTTAAGACTTTTTTTTAGTGTATTGCTGTTTCTACGAGTTTGACACAGTCTCTGCTCACCCATCTGTGATGTTCATGCTTCAATTCACTCTTCTTGTAGGCATTTAACAAGCAGAGTGCAAGTGGGCTCCCCAGCTACAATGGTGCTGACCCAGTTACCTCACCTGAGAGAAGCAGGTACTGTAATTTTTATACCTGTGACATTGTTCCTGGGAATGGTTCACACTGTGGGACTATTGGGTTTAGGAGCTCACTCGCTGAAAGAGCAGTGGAGGGGCAGATTCCAAAATATCTTGTTTGAAAAGGGCTAATTTGCAGGGCTATAAAACTGAGAAGTGGCTCTAATTGGACTGCTCCTTCAAAGAGCTGACACAGCCTTGATGGGCTGAATGGAATCCTGCGTTGTTTAGAAGAGCTGTGCAGTTGTTGGTTGGTTTGCCGAGCTGACTGATTTTCATGCAAACGTTTTGTCTCCCTTCTAGGTGACATCGTCCACGTAGCCTCTGTTGAAACGCTGTTGTTCTGTCCCACTCTGAATTTATATGGTCTGATCTGCCATCGTGGGCAGTCTTGTTTCTGGTTTTTGTACTGTAGTGGTAGGTAGATGGGGTCTATTTCAACATGTTTGTTAATTGCATCAATGGTTGAAAACCAGGTCTCCAGGAATTCTCGTGCTTGTCTTTGTCAAAGACAATTGACAAAGATGTTGAAATAGACCCCGTCAACATACCACTACAGTACAAAACCAGATAAATCACATGAATCACATAAAGCTAGCTTAAATGTTCAGCAGGTAATACAGAAGGCAAATGAAATATTGACCTTTATTTCAGAGGGAACAAAAACAGAAGTTGCTGGAAAAGCTCAGCGAGTCTGGCAGCATCTGTGAAGCAAAATCAGAGTTAACATTTCAGGTCTGGTAACCCTTCAGCAGAACCATACTGAGGAAGGGTCACTGGACCTAAAATATTAACTCTGATTTTTTCTTCACAGATGCTGCCAGACCTGCTGAGCTTTTCCTGCAACGTCTGTTTTTGTTCCTGATTTACAGCATCCACAGTTCTTTCGGTTTTTATTTCAGAGGGAATGGAGTATGAAAGTAGGGTTTTTTATTCATAGGGAGGTCTTGCTAAAGACACTAGTTAGACCACAGATGAAATACTGTAAACAGCTTGGGCACTTTATCTAAGGCAAGATATAATGGCATTGGTTGCATTCCAGAGAAGTTTCATCAGGTTGATCCAGGGTATGGAGAGGTTGTCTTATGAGGAGGGGTTGAGTAGGTTGGATTTGTGCTCATCGGGGTTTAGAAGAACGAGAGGTGACATTATTGAAACATGTAAGATTCTTAGGGAGCTTGACACCTTGTTTCCCCTGTGGGAGTCTGTGATCTAAAGGGCATAATCTCAGAGTAAGGAGTCACCCATTTAGGACAGAGATGAAGAGGAATTTCTTCTCTCATCAGTAGTGAATCTGTGGAATTCTTTACTGCAGAGGGCTGTCGAGGCTGGGTCATTATCCAAGGTTAAAATAGGCAGGTTTTTAATCAGTAAGGGGATCAAGGGTCATGGGGAAAAGGTAGGAATGTGGAGTTAATGATTGTCAGATCAGCCATGATCTCATCAAATAGTGGAGCAGATTTGATGGGCTGAATAGCCTACTTCTGCTCCTACATTGTATGGACTAATGGTCTTATTGAATGCAGAAGGGAAAGGGAAACGAGTTCAGTTGTTCAACCCTGGCTGCCACCGTCATCTCAGTTACTCCTGCCCCAACCCTCTTCTACAAGACAACTCGTCCCAACCCGTCTCTACATTTCCACGTCATTAACCTCCTGTATTGCTCCAGATAGATATCCCACTCCCTCTGATGGACTCAATCCTCATTGTACCTTCCCCTGGATTTACGGAGAGCTTTCAATTATTAGCAGTTTAAGGATAATTTTCTTTTGTTTCTGAACTTTTGCAGATGAAGAGGAACCTAAACCAGTCTTTGAGAAGAAACCCTTGATTTGGGAAGAAGACCTGCAGCTGTATTCTAAATTTATTGACAGAACGGTACCAATTCATAGCTACTTGTACTGGGGCCTGCACTCAACCTGAACATAAGATGCTGAAAGTTTGTTTGTTATTTTTAACTCTTGCCTGTCCACAAAAATGAAACTGATGAAACGTCATACGTGTGCTGTGTAGCAATACATTGACTCACATGCTGTATTGCAGCTCAGTGCATTGAGTTGCAGTTTGCATCACTGCTCAATGCATTGAGTTGCAGCACGCTGATTCACTGCTCAATGCTGCATCACTGCTCAGTGTGTTGAGTTACAGTATGCAAGAGTCAAGCCAGGGACACCATAGGTGATTCAACTGCACAGAGGCAAGGAGGAAGAGTGAAAGACTAGTATTGATGGGGGTTAATTAGTTAGGAGAACAGTCAGGCTTTTCTGTGGTCACAGATACAACTCCAGGACAATAAGCTGCATGGCAGGTGCCATTGTCAAGGACTCAGAGCACCTGTTGGACACTCTTCTGTGAACAGGTCATCAACCAGCAGTTGTGGTCCATGTTCCTGCCAATGGCAGAGGTAGGAAGGGGAAAGTGGTCCTGCAGACATAATTTAGGGAACCAGGTAGAAAATTAACAACACAACCTCAAAGGTTGTAATCTCAGGCTACTCATAATGCCAACAGCAAGTGAGTACAGAAAGTGGTGGATTAGACAGATGGCAGGAAAGATGGTACAGGATAAAGGGCTTTAGATTCCTGAGACACTGGGACTGGCTCAATGGGAGAAGGCACCTGTACAAGCCATCTGAACAGAGTCAGGTCTAAGTGCACTCTTATTTATTCAGGATATGTGGGGATTTATTGCCCACCCCAATTTGTCCTTAAGAAGTTACTGGTGAGCTGCCTTCTTGAACTGCTGCAGTCCATTTGGAATATGTACACACACAATGCCATTAGGGAGGGTGTTCAAGGATTTTGACCCAGCGACAGTGAAAGATTGGTGATATATTTCCAAGTTAGGACAATGAGTGCCTTTGAGGGAAATGTACAGGGCATTTTGCTAGTGCTGTTGGAAAGAACTTAAACTAGAAAACAGGCATCGTAGACTGGACATGATGCAATGAGAAAGGAATAATTGGTAATGTAGTTAAGAGATATCCTTTGGGGATGGCTGACCAATGATGCTATGAGGTTTGAGTTGGCTATGATGGATGTTACTGAAGGGAATAACAGTGGATAGGCAATGGCAACCATTCAAACAGCAAATAAGTGAAGTACAAAAACTGTTTAATTGTATCTGGCACAAGTGTGCAAAGAGAACAGTGAGCAAACCATGGCTTATAAGGGGATTTAGAGATAATATTAAGTGCAAAAAAGAGGCATACAAACTGGCAAAAAAAAATAGACCTGGGTTTGGAAACTGTTTAGAAGTCAGTAAAGGAGGACCAAATTTTGGTTAAGAAGGGGACTTAAGAACTGACTGTAAAAGTGTCTGTAGGTATGAAAAAAGAAAACGATAGATGAAAACTAATGTTGATCCCTTACAGTCAGAAATGGGGAAATTTATATTGGGGAGCAAAGATTCATACTTCATAAATTCATACTTCGTGTCTGTCTTCATAAAGGGGGACACAAATAATATGCCAGAAATGATTGGGAGCTCAGGATTTAGTGCAAGGGAAGAGCTGAAGCAAATCTGTAGTAATATAGAAATGGTGTTGGAGAAATTAATGGGATTGAAGGCTGATAAATCCCTAGGGTCTGGTAATCAACATCCCAGAGGAAGTTCTCAAGGAAGTGGCCGTAGAAATAGTGGTTGCATTGATGGTCAACTTCCAAGATTCTTTAGGCTCTGGAACAGTTCGTACAGACTGGAGGGGAGCTAATGTAACCTCACTATTTAAAAACAAAGATAGAGAGAAAACAGGTTATAATAGACCAGTAAGCCTGGTGTTGGTAGTGGGGAAGATGCTAGAGTCCATTATCAAGGATTTTATAACAGAGCACTTAGAAAACAGTGATAGAATCAGACAGAGTCAGCATGGATTTGCAAAACAGAAATCATGCTTGACAAATCTTCTGGACATCTTCAAGGTTGTAATTAGTAGATCAGGAGGAGTCAGTGGATGCAGTTTATTTGGACTTCAGAAGACTTTCAGCAAAGTCGCACATAAGAGATTAATGTGTAAAGTTAAAGTGCATGAGATTAGTGATAGTGTATTGAGATGAATAGAAAATTGGTTAGCAGATGGGAAACAAAGAGTAATAAATAGAGGCAATAAGGACTGCAGATGCAGGAAGCCAGAGTCTATTGTTGTAAGGATGGAAAAGCACAGCAGATCATACAGAAGAGCAGGAAAGTCAATGTTTCAAGCCAAAACCCTTCACAGGAATGGGTTGTTTTCTGAATGGCAGGAAGTGACTAGGACCCCAGCTATTCACAAGATATGTTAATAACTTAGATGAGGGCATTTCCGTATATACGCGTGTAAAAGTTGAATTTTTTTAGACTGTTTTTTAAGATTAAATTTATGGGTAGACTATTACCTGGATACTACTTTTGAGGGGCGGAAATTCGTGCTACAGTCCAAAATACTGTATCATTAGCAGAAGCCCAATTGATATCGAAACGAATAAAGAAAAAGAACACAACGAATTACGGTAATTATTGTAATATCTTATCCTCTAGTTCAGCAGGCAGCTTTTGTGTAATCTTAGTTCTCTGCCAAAGTACTAAGTCATGCATTGTCTTGCATCTTGTGCATCATCGATCACTTGCCTTAAAACCCAAAGCTCCATCCTTCTTTGATTCGTTTCGTGCATGGATTTAGATAGCTTCACGACTAATACATTCTCCATTTTGACAATTTTCAAGTACCCACTCAGCAACTCTTTTCTCCAATTGTAGCCACTTGCTAGGTTTACCTCTGCTGGCACACTTTTGTTTTGGCATTGTCTGAAGTTGGTTCGATATCTTTCTCCAGTCTCTCACAAGTTTCTCCGAAACACAAAATCCTCTTGCTGCTACAGTTATTTGTCTTCTCTGCAAAACATCTAAATGCTGCTGAATATTTTTTGTTTTATTTCTGGAGGGCATTTTTACACAAAATGATGAAGAAATTTCAAAATACATAACAGCACAAAAAAGAATTCATTTCCTCATCGTAACACATATGTACAGGATAATACCTTGACTCACAAATGTTGATCTGTTATCTGTGAAGAACTGGGATCAACATTTACATGAAATATGTGGAAAATTCCAGATATTTTGGCCAAAAATAGGGGGTGAACTTTTACATGAGATTGACTTTTGCTCGAGTATATGCGGTAAATGTAATATCTCAAAATTTGCAGATGGCACAAAGTAGGGTGGAAGGTTGAGCTGTGAGGAAGATGCAGAGATGTTGCTGTGTGATTTAGACAGGCTGACTGAGTGGGCAAATATGTGGCAGATGCAGTATAATGTAGATTTTATCCACTGGTAGCAAAAATAGAAAAGCAGATTATTACAGCAGATTCTGAGGAAGGGTCACCAGACCTGAAACTGATTTTTTTTCTTCACAGATGTTGCCAGACCTGCTGAGCTTTTCCAGCAACTTCTGTTTTTGTTCCTGATTTACAGCATCCGCAATTCTTTCGGTTTTTTTATTAAAGAAGGTTATTACTTGAATGGCTGTAAATTGAGAGAGGGAATGTTCTCAATTCTGGCCTCCCTGCTATAGGAAGGATGTGGTGAAACTTGAAAGGTTTCAGAAAAAAGTTACAAAGGTTGTTGCCAGGGTTGGAGGATTTGAGCTACAGGGAGAGGCTGGATAGGCCGGGGCTATTTTCTGTGGAGCTTCAGAGGCTGAGGGCTGACCTTGTTGAGGTTTATAAAATCATGAGGGGCATGGATAGGGTGATTAAACAAGGTCTTTTCCTTGGGGTGGGGGATTCCAAAACTAGAGGGCATAGGTTTAAGGTGAGAGGGGAAAGGTTTAAAAAGGACTTAAGGGGCAACTTTTTCACACAGAAGGTGGTGCATGTATGGAATGAGCTGCCAGAGGAAGTGCTGGAGGCTGGTACAGTTGCAACATTTAAAAGGCATCTGGATGGGTACATGAATAGGAAGGGTTTAGAGGGATATGGGCCAAATGCTGGCAAATGGGACAGGATTAATTTAACAAATATGGTTGGCATGGACAAGTTGGACTGAAGGGTCTGTTTCCAAGCAGTACAGCTCTATGACTCTATGATCTGGGTGTCCTTCTTACACCAATCACTGAAAGTAAGCGTGCAGGTACAGCAGGCAGTAAAGAAAGCAAGGTGTATGTTGGCTTACACAGTGAGAGGATTCCAGTACAAGAAGGAGAATGTCTTGCTGCAGTTGTACAGGGCATTGGTGAGACCACACCTGGAATATTGTGTGCAGTTTTGGTCCCCTCATCTGAGGAAGGATGTTCTTGCTACAGAGGGAGTGAAGCAAAGATTTGGCAAATTGATTCCTGGGATGGCAGGATTGATGTATGGGAAGAGATTGAGTCAGTTAGGATTGTATACACTGGAGTTTAAAGAAGAATGAGAGGTATCTTATAGAAACCTTTAAAAGTGTAACAGGACTATACAAGGAAAGACGGTGAGGGATCCCTGAGTCGGGTGTCATTGTCTCACCATAAGGAGTAATTCTTTTAGGACTGATAGGAGAAGAAATTTCTTCCTCCAGAAAATAGTGAGCCTGTGGAATTCACTATTACAGAAAGCGGTTGAGGCCAAAACATTATGTGTTTTCAAGAAGGAGGTAGATATAGATGTTGTGGCCAAGGGATATGGAGGGAGGATTAGGGTATTGAGCTCAATAATCAACCACGATTGTAATGAATGGCAGAACAGGCTCGAGGGACTGAATGGCCTACTCCTGCTCCTATCTTCTGTGTTTCTTTGCTGAATCAGCAATGGTGTGGGTACTAGGAGAGACTATCAGAGAAGAATATCAGGATGCACAAAGTACCAGGAGAGATATTTGGAATTGGAATGGATTATAAGAAGTTAATAGGTGGAGTTGGAGTATGG